AGTTGTACTAGGGTAACAAGGAATCAGACGTAATCACGTGGTTGATGGGGGAAATACCTGTTTGAATTGCATATGATCAGGTCGAATCATTGACTTTTGAAACTGAGGTGCTTAATGGAGTCTGTTTTCACCGCAAACGACCAAGAAAATTCAGATCATCCGTTGAAACCCATCCCTAATACTTTTCATCTCCTCATATAGTGCCACGGATAGGTAAATAGTGACCTTCTTTAACACCACTCGTCTTAAGGTTTTTCAATATAGCTACGAGACACGTTTGCATTGGTAGACGCGACCAGGGAAATAACTGGGGATAAGAAGCACACGATCCCCCTGGACATATCTCAATTCGTCACTAGAATCCCGCTCATAGAAGCCATCTGCTATCTGTCCAACCCCACAAAGCAAAGCAGTATGAACATGAATAATTCCGTCAGTGATATGAGGGAACCGTTTTTGTGATGCACGTTAGATCAGCGCTTCCAGTTCAACGAAGGACTGCGCCAACAGGGTAACACTGTCGCAATGGGTACTTCGCTAGTTCCACTCCTCATCGATGATTCCTGAGAATCCTCGGAAACCGTAAAATACGATCAAGTATAGAAAAAAAGGCATTTCTACCGGATATATGTAGATGATGCGTTTGCTATAGACTATGTAAACTGATGTCCAGATCACACACTTCAATAGCCTTTCTAGTTGCTTCACTCAAACCGTGGTTCACAATTACTTAGCTGATGCCTCTTCAACTTGAAGATAAGAGTGGTGGTCTATTCCTTCACCTGCTGTAGTACAGCAGAATACATAGCGCGCACAACACGGTGGTTTAGCAAGAGAATGAAGGAGCGTAATTCATTTTGGGGGATAACCGGATCGGGGAGGTCCATTACTGGCGCAGTGGTCACTCACTTGGCTGATACGACGAATCGTGAAAATGGGATCGGGCAAAACAAAACGGAGAGAAAAACTGGTGGAAATAAGAGACGCCGTGACAATCTACCAACTCGAGTACTGACAGAACCTGATCTGACCCTGTTCGGGAGCGGGCTTATCAGAATAGAGGTGGGGTTTACCGGAAGAAAGCTTTTCAGCGAGCCTTCGAATATGAGGAATGCAGACCACAAAACAAACAAATCTTAAAAGGACCGGAGGAATCACGACTAGCTTAAATATCCAGTTGGATGCTGTGAGGCAGTCTAGATGGCCGTGCAGTCACTTGGTCGGTTGATTCGCGTCACACAACTCCAAGGCAGACTCAGCGTTCGTACGAAAGGTTTTGGCAGCTCAGTACAGGGTTTCTCAGGCGTATGGCGACTGCCTCGACTGTGGTTAAACGACGCCGTTGGGTAGATAATGACAGTCTGTTGAGTGCACAGCAAATGACATGAAATGACTCATTCGGAATGACTAAGTGCCTGGTATCAATTAAGTGGGACGCGTTGGAGCTTTCGGCTGAACCGTTGGGTGCTATGGTATTACGATAAAAGCGGTGCTCACGTATTCTCTTAGAAAGTTGCCGTGACATGGGCCCAACCTACTCCGCTGAATAACAGCACACAACATACACAACCATTTTCTGGATGAGGACTAGAATCTTGTCTTTGAGGTTTACGTTGTGCAAAGAGTTGGTTGTAAGCCAAGACCCAGCCGGAAACGTGCGTCTTAGAGAATGAAACAAGTGGTGCTCGGCCAAGTGCGCTAACAGATCGTCTTTATACGGTAAACTCGAGTATATTGGCCTCTTTCCAACGGTCGTGATAAACAGTTGGATAGGGCGATCGGACGCATTCTTGGTTATAAATCTCTCCGGGTTACCATTGGCTCGGAGCACGTTAGCGATGTGCTGCAGTTCAGATTCAAGTTTATCAGCAGAGCTCGGTTCGTTAAAGTGTGAATCAGGGTTCGTTTCGCCTCAGTGGTACAAAACTCAGATGGTTTGTCCACTTTCCCGTCCACGTGGGCTTTCTGTAGACATACCCCTGAATTGAACCCGTGGAAAGTCTAACTTAACGTCCAGGAATAGGAAAGCCTTGTCTCTTCCAGTTTCAAAAGTGAACTGAATGGGGGCTGTGTTCCTTTGAAGTTGATCAGGGGGGCATCCATTTCGGAACCGTGTGTTACTAGCATAAAAATATCAAATACGCACCTTCGGTAAAAATGTGTCCACCTGATCTCCCCAATAAATCTACTGAGCTCCACTTTGCCCATAAAATTACAAGTAGGCTGACATTCAAGCAACATTAGGAGAGAGCGAACGCTCTCGCAACAACTGCATGAAATCAAGCAGATGAAAACGAAATAAACAACCAACCGCGAAATGGTGATATCCCAGTGAAGAGTAATCAAATGTATGCAAGCAAATTCCCAAGTTCGGCGAAGAGATTTGCAAACTTATTGTCTCCAAGCACTTAACGTACCCAAAGTGCCAGCGCTTCAGTAGATCGCTAGACCCAGAACAGTTGGCAGGACTCAACACGTCTAACTTGTCCCCTGTAGCAGATACCTATACGATGCCACAAGCACATGTCATGCAAGACTAACACTAAAATTCGTAAACTGCTGTTGCACCACGCGCCATGTTGTCATCCAGGTGGATAACAGAAGACCTAATTTCGATAGTTCCAGAGCCGACACGGAACAGACTAGCATGTAATGTACTTACGAATCGACTGACGGCACCCACACTAGGACAGTATATGCACAGACTTAACTGCCACTTCTGGGCACGATCGTCAGCTGGGAAGATATTTCAGAATACGAAGCGTTCCATCGCAACAGAGAGGTTGGCCAAACTGAAGCAAACAACTTGGCAAAAAGGTTGCGTTAATAATACGTATTAGTTCTCCCGAGAGACGAGTTTACCTCGGTCTCATTTGGGATGCACTTAAATCCCTCCATCAACCAACAGTTAGGTTTGCTTTACGAGATATTTTAACCATACAAAGTTGTACTGCTGTCAGCCAAAGGGCGACACAGCGGAACGCCGATTCACTAAGCCGAAGTATTCCTACTTCAACACATCGACAGGCATAGGACCTTCCGTGGGACACAGACCAACCACGTTTATGCCTCCACCATAATTAGACTGGTACATTATCAGAACCGGGATTTAGCTACGAATATCTCTGCACATACACCACGTAACAAAAGATGTTTGCAGTTGGAATTCAAGTTGGGCTTCAACCGTGACGATTTGTGTCCCTCTATAACACACTGGGCTATGCAGAAGGAGTGTTTGTGCCACATTTGCAGAGCCTCTTTTACCCGGTTGGTCAATATTTGGAGATCTGACCAGCGCATTTCCCTGGTCCTCCAGGTTGGGAATCAGAACATGTGTGTCGAGTCGTCCATTAAAAAACGGGATGAACTGATATTTCCCACAGAACACCGCGGAATTGCACCCACGTTTCTGAGCAAAGACTTTAGTCAGGGAACCTTTTTGTCCTTTACTTAATGCATCAAGTTTTTAAGCACTGAGGTTGTGCTGTCAACAGAAATGATAGGGAAAACCATAATGGTCATGAGGATGATCAAATGAGCTTATCCACCTCCAGCACAAACAGAGTCTCTACGGTCACCAGAAGGGATGCAGTTCAGAATTTAACTCAATCCTTACTGTCAACGTCACAAATAAAGCATCAACCTCCTCTTATAACACTGATGCTGAAATTGGTGGGGCAGTCTAATGTCTATCACGAAAAAATGACTGAGTACGGGGCATACACCGGACACCGGCTGATAAAAACCGTCGATAGAGCAACTGATCAAACGGAAATTAGGTCCATCGATCACAAGACACACACTTTACCCCATCGACCCACATAGTTTATTTCGAACAACCTGAGTCAATTATAACTCGACGCCTTTAGCATACAGTCAACCACCCAAATAGGCAGTGACACACGAACTTTTCTAACATAGAGCTGATCATAGACCCTTATCTAGTCATTTATACTTCATTCATTTTCTTGTCCAAAATGGTGCCTTCCTAACCGCACAGCAAACAGACTAGGATGCATCGACGCGCTTCTGTGTGTTTGCCACCTGTTATCCGTTGCATCTAGAAGGTAGCTTCAACCCAATCTCAACGAGATCAAACCAGCGAACTTCACATTCACAGTCGGTTGGAAAAATCACTGGACCTTACTAAAAGGATTTGGTTATCAGCCGCTGTACGTATGTGTTTGCCAACAAACGGGGCGCAATGTGTCCCTATGTAATTATTTCATAATCCCAGCCACCATAAACTAAACGAGAGGACCGTCATTTCCCTGGAACACTGAATCGTGTTGTGCGATAGTAGAATTCGTTTGTCTATCAACACTCGAGAAGAAGAATGATCAGCGACCTGCAAGCAGAGTTGGTAACCGTAAACTGACTCGCCCTTACGTATATCGCAATTATTATGTTTTGTTACGATGTATGTCATCAGGGCGCCTTGTGTAGTAGGAAAATGTTGGTGAGGTACATCTGTGGACACAGAATTTCGCCCAGGTCGAGGAAGGGAGTTTGGTTGAGGTACCACACCTTGAGTCTCTGAGTCAAATGTCTGACCCACAAGGCTGTGGGAGGATGTAAGGTTCAGTCGAAAACCCTTCCCCTAGCCTCTGACTCAAAAGTCTGATGCGCTAGGTAGCGGACAGTAAGGTTTTCTTACGGGACCCTCCCCAGAGCCAATGGCCCAATAGTCTGACCTGCTCGGCTGCAAGGAGCAATTTACCCGAGGGCGGAGGGACCAAGGCATTACTCTCTTATTACTGGTGCGGATGCGTACGGGAGATGACTTTTGATCAGCACCAGACTCTTGGGTTTTAAAAGTATTCCAGCCCTATTGGATAATTGGCGGTCGGAGTGCGTGATCTTCGTGCCGACCTTTTCTAACCCATCCTTCCTCTGAAGAAGGCAACATCTCTGCCTCTATAAATATGAGCATGTTGGTCGCTTGGGGGAGACAACTAAATGCCTACACACTCCTGTGGCAGAGGACAGTACGAATTTACCCTCAGACCGCCTCGTAGCACAATTACTCGTGGTACGGGCTCCCGTTGTTCTCGGTCTGATTGCTCTCCTTGGACTTCCTGGCATGGTTGCAACTTGTGGAACGGATTTCCAGCCAGTGTAGCCCGCGGGATCATTGCAGCACTCAAGCCGTACCACTGCGTCAATGTAGCAGCTTTATGCCTTAGGAGAGCGACGATCAGTGAAACAGTAAGCGAGAAGGATGGCTCATTAATTCACTCGCAACAGACCTGACTGGAAAGATGGGCCGAACACTTCGAAGGACAGTTCAGCTGGCCTCCTGCAACACCGCCTGTAGAGATAATACATACGGGCGAGTAGAGTGCAACTCTTGATCCCCCGTCGGAAGAAGAAATAAAGTGCAAAATACCCATAATAAAGCGTGACAAGGCCTTAAGGCCGACAGTCTGTACCCAGCTCTCTTCAAAGAAGGCGGAGAGACCCTGGTACCCATCTGACAAAGCATATTGGTACTATATGGAACAAAGAGGAGGTGTCTGCAGAGTGGGCATGTCGATAACAATCCCCATTTTCAAAAAGGGTACGCGGACACTGTGTGAAAACCTCTATGGAATTAGCCTGGTAGCTGTGGCACCAAAGGTGTTCTCGGTTCTTATCTTTTTTTTCTGTGGTTGACTAAACAGAGGGAGAGACATATCTATGAAAACCAAGCTGGATTCCGTCCTGCAAAAGGATGCATCGATCATTTCTTCACCCTCCGACAGATCTGGAACAGTGACAATACTTCCAGCAACCAACAATGTCTGTGTTCCTTGATCTGAAATCTGCCTTTGAATCTGTGGACCGTCAGGCACTATAGCAGTGTCTGTGGAGCAAAGGTGTCCCCCATGAGACCTTGACCCTTAACGTGCTGTCCGCCAGCTCTCGCGGCCATGTGAAAATCTGCGAGAAGCTCTCTTCTGAGTTCACTACATCAAGTGGTGTCAGACAGGTGTGCCCTCTTCCACCTTTCCTCTTCAACTTCGTCATTGATCAGATCATAGAAGACTCACTATCAACCTCCAATATAGGTGGGTTTGAAGTCCCCCCCCGGACGTCCGCTCGCAGACATCGAGTACGCGAACGATACGGCTGTTCTGGGATCTGAACCCGTTGTAATGGAAACAATATTGAATAACCTAAATAATTCTGCCCCACGGTTTGAGATGCGCTTCACACCGGTAAATTGTAAGCCTGGGTGGGCTCGGAACCAAAGTCATGATGCGGATGAGCCGATTGATATAGTGGACAAATTAGTTTACCAGGCTAGCTGTGTCAGTCTCGGTGGTCTCGCAAAAGATGATATTTCCATCCGGATCGGGAAAGCCAGAGTGGCTTTTGTGAACCTGCATCACCTGTGCCGTAGGCGTGACATTGGTTTGTCCCTAGGTCGAGTTTACAATGCTGCGGTGCGCTCCATACTACTATTCACGACAGAAACCTGACCACTGCGCGCTGAGACGTCGAACATTTTCAGCGTTTGACCATTGATGTCTCCGCAGCAGTGCTCGAGTCCGGTGGGAACACCGGATCAGCAATGCTAAAGTACGTCGAATGATATTTGGAAGAAATCACTTACGATAGATGAACCGACCACACCACATAGGTTGTGCTGGCTTGGCCACGTGCTGCGTATGCCAGTCGACCGACTACCTTGCACAACCACTTGAAGGGTGGAAGAGAGCCAGAGGAGGTCAAACAATGAAGGTCAACAACAGTGAAGCATAAAAGCCATCACCTGCAAACGTAGCTGCATTGGTCACTGCCGTCTTCCTGGATGAGGACCCCGAGACGGGCCACATCATTGGTTAGAGATATTGTCAGACATGGACCAGACACGTCCTCAACGGCGCTTGTGCATCCAAGTTATTGCCTTCAATGCATTGCTCCGTTCCTAATTACCATACTCAACAGACCACTCACAGCCCTGTATTTACGCACCAACTTATCAGTTCCCGCCTCCAGTGTGCAGCCACTTACCACACCTCCCCAAATCACTCGTGAACGAAACTGGCAACTACAACCGCTGTACGACAAGTACGCGGTTCTTACAGCTGACAGTGATGATGATGCTGGTAATGATGATGACGATGATGATGATGATGATGATGATGATGATGATGATGATGATGATGACTCACTATCAACCTCCAATATAGGTGGGTTTGAAGTCCCCCCCCGGACGTCCGCTCGCAGACATCGAGTACGCGAACGATACGGCTGTTCTGGGATCTGAACCCGTTGTAATGGAAACAATATTGAATAACCTAAATAATTCTGCCCCACGGTTTGAGATGCGCTTCACACCGGTAAATTGTAAGCCTGGGTGGGCTCGGAACCAAAGTCATGATGCGGATGAGCCGATTGATATAGTGGACAAATTAGTTTACCAGGCTAGCTGTGTCAGTCTCGGTGGTCTCGCAAAAGATGATATTTCCATCCGGATCGGGAAAGCCAGAGTGGCTTTTGTGAACCTGCATCACCTGTGCCGTAGGCGTGACATTGGTTTGTCCCTAGGTCGAGTTTACAATGCTGCGGTGCGCTCCATACTACTATTCACGACAGAAACCTGACCACTGCGCGCTGAGACGTCGAACATTTTCAGCGTTTGACCATTGATGTCTCCGCAGCAGTGCTCGAGTCCGGTGGGAACACCGGATCAGCAATGCTAAAGTACGTCGAATGATATTTGGAAGAAATCACTTACGATAGATGAACCGACCACACCACATAGGTTGTGCTGGCTTGGCCACGTGCTGCGTATGCCAGTCGACCGACTACCTTGCACAACCACTTGAAGGGTGGAAGAGAGCCAGAGGAGGTCAAACAATGAAGGTCAACAACAGTGAAGCATAAAAGCCATCACCTGCAAACGTAGCTGCATTGGTCACTGCCGTCTTCCTGGATGAGGACCCCGAGACGGGCCACATCATTGGTTAGAGATATTGTCAGACATGGACCAGACACGTCCTCAACGGCGCTTGTGCATCCAAGTTATTGCCTTCAATGCATTGCTCCGTTCCTAATTACCATACTCAACAGACCACTCACAGCCCTGTATTTACGCACCAACTTATCAGTTCCCGCCTCCAGTGTGCAGCCACTTACCACACCTCCCCAAATCACTCGTGAACGAAACTGGCAACTACAACCGCTGTACGACAAGTACGCGGTTCTTACAGCTGACAGTGATGATGATGCTGGTAATGATGATGACGATGATGATGATGATGATGATGATGATGATGATGATGATGATGATGGTGATGACGATGATAATGATGGTGATGGCATGGACACCGTATTCTGAGTAAATTTCTCCTAAGTTCACCGACTTCCGGTTAGCAACACATTATAGGCAATGATGTAGTTGAGGCAGACATACTGTTTTTTCCTGCCCAAAAAGTACCAGCACCTAAGAATTTTCAGCAACCCTGTGAGTCGTTTCCTTCGGGAAAATATACTGTGATATGAGCGAACATCGCACAAAGTGAAACATGATGCGACTTCTCTGCAGCACATCTCTTGGGCAAAATCACAACTGACAGGTCGAGCTCTGATTCACTTGAGTCTGCCGTTAAAATTAACGTGGTATGAAAATGAGTGTAGTTCGCGAATTTCTTAAAATTTGAGTTCAGTAGTACTTGAGGTTGCCGAAAGTTGCACCGCAATAACCTAATGAGCCCAATGCAGTGCCAAACTGATCTTGGACTGTCGAAGAGTTTTAGACAGCATTGTAAGCAGTTACTTCAGAAAAGCACCTAGGATTAATGCAAATACGCCACACACTTCGCAGAAAATCAAGTACTCATTTCCGCTGAACCCAGAGTGTGAAAGTTGATGGTAGTTTTTCGATATCAATAAAGTAAACACATTGGTGTGCGTTTGGTGGGCTATGTGAGTATAGTTTTCTGTAAAAAGGTGCTGGTTTTTACTGACTTTGTTTGGGTCTTGATTTAATGTAACGATTATTTTGGTTATGGGTGACTAGGAGATTTGTGGAATTCTCATCAAAATCGCTCTTGTTTGAACAGCCCTACTTCTGTCCTGGTGAAGTCGTTCTAATTAGTCCACACAAAGGGCCGGTTGGGGTAGTGGACTCGCTGAGAATATTGCGCTAGGACAAACGGATGATTGTTCAATCAATGGTGTCGTGAATGTGACAGGGGAACTGTTATATGAGTGAAACACCTGCAAACCTGAATATCAGATTACACACACGAAACCTCCGTTATTCTCACAGAGTCTACTAATTATGTTGCGTGCATCCGTGACAACGTTTCATCCGCCTATTTATATTACGTGAGTTGACTAGCCTGAATATTTCTACACAGGTGCTTGTACCATTCCAAGGGGTCTTTGCTTCCTAACCAGATTATCTTCAGCAGTAGACACCCTAAACGGGTGTTTCGAAGGCATTCACTCATGCGTGGAAAACACTGTTTGAGCGTGTTCCTTTCCTTACTATTGTCATCTATCGTTAAATCCCAATGTAAGTTTGTTTTCCGTGATATCATTCATATACCAAGTTTTGTTGGGGCGCGTTTTCTGACCAGAAGAAGATGGCGGAAAATCTGACTAGTTCCTTGCATCAATTTCAACTTCAAGAACAAACCCTTTAGGGTAGGATGGTACGGATGCATGAATACTTAATAAACCGTCTACCAAAAGAAAGGTTCGATGAGAAATAATGGGTTTGTTCCGATAAAATAAACTACCGAACTATTTCGACAACGACCTTGTTCTTTTCACTGAGTCCTCACGTAGCACACTATTCCCGGATAATTTAATACCCAGGAAACGAACTGACGAACTGCGTAGTCTGACAGCTCCCAATAAATATAAGCCAATTCAGACCTTTATAAGATTCGATTTGACATGTCGATTTCAGCAAGCGTTGCAAATTCAAAGTTGGTTTCAGTTGGGGTTTTGCGGGATGTGTATTTTGTTCATATTCACACCACCCCTGTTTGAACGGTCACCCTGCTGTCCTTGCGGAATTATTCTGGTGAGTTCACACCGAAGGGAAGCACTGGACTCGAGTTTTGCTCTTATTAGAGCTCATCAGCACTGCGTGTCCAATGGCTGCGCTGGGATTTGACCCCTGGACATCTGACATGCGAGGCGAGGTGTGACCACTGCTCCACGTTGGATGCATCCGG